GGAAAGAAAGAAGAAGAAAAAGAAGGGAAAATCTAGCGCTATTGCCTTTCTCCAACCTCTAGGAGGCGACGTTAGATTTATAGATAGTAGAAACAAGAAAGAAAGGGAGAACGAAAAAAGAAGAAGAAGTGGCAAAAATGGCGAAGAATCCGATTGAATTTTGGTGGATCCGACACATATCCCATACCCATACCCATGTCATGTCATGTTCGACACGGGTACTCCAACTGTTTAGAAGAGTCCGAGCATCAGAGTGTATAACTCTATGACTCTCTCAAGAACCAATTGTTATTTTCCATGGATGTCGTGTATGCTGTCACGAAGCTACCTTCAGTTTTTAATTGGCCACTACAATTTTAGGTGTTTGAGTACATATAGGCGTCTGGTGAATTTAAATGTTATTGCATTGGAGTGATAAATTAGGATTTGGGATATCTTATTTTCAACATATTCTAATTTGTCAATTTTTTTCCTGTTCAGGCATTCTTGTGAGATTTTAGGGACTCGCCTCTTAGCTTTTGTCCGAGAATGCTTAAATTTTCTTGAGTAATAACTTTTCTGGTGCTTTTGTTCCTAGCAAGGAAAGTATTTTTTACCATTTTACTTGACATACAGAGTGCTATATACAGAGTGATTTTCTTTTTCATACTGTGTATGTTTTTACTTGTTCATTTAGAATCACTGCATGTATGTTTTTACTTGTTCCAGAAATCATGGTTAACGGATAGTACCCCAGTGAAAAAGAAAATAATGAAAATGTACGCTCATAACTATCATTATTTTTGTGTTTCCTATGTTCTCTTTACTTCGTGAAGATATTTATTTAGCACTATTGTAATTAGTTTATGTTCCTTCATATTTTGATGATTGTTATTGTGAAGTGATTTTGCAAGCAAGATGATAGGACTAGTGGTGGCTATAAATCTAGTCAACAAAGTCACATGATATCCACAAAGGGCCGGTGGAAAGAATCTGCATGCGACGGTTATCGAGATTGATCCTAACTCATGGATCGATGATGTCAACAGTCTATCTAAAAGCTGAGTTTATGGGTTTGGTACTCAACAACCTACTTTGCATGTTCTTGGCCCACGCACTTTACGAAGCTGTTCAATTTTTGAACGTGATGAAATTGAGAATAATTTAAAGTCAGCGGTGACTAGTGCACAAGATTGAATAGCTATGATTTCGCAGTACATTTTAAAAGTGTTGAAAGAAATCACAAGGTTGAGATACGATAAACGATATGAAGCATGCTTAAGGGAGTAAATCTACACTTTCAATTTCCTTATAGCTCTACATCACATAATGATGATATGTGAGACATGATGTATAAAAATTGAAATTTAGATGTAATAACTTAATCTATTAAAGCTTTAGTATGTTTTGACAATATTGATTATTAGTTAGTAGGTTTTATAAATTTTTAGTATTTTTATCGAAAAAATAACATTTACCAACTCCAATAACGATTTGTCTGTTGGTAAAAAATAATTATTTTTACATGATAATATTTTTATCAACGAATTTTCCATTGGTAATATCAATATTTTTACCAATGACATCATCCAAAAATTGTACAAATGCAAGACATATGTAGATGCAATTCTTTTATACGAATCTTCAATTTCGAGTTTTGATTCTTCATTTTTCCTGATGTAATTTCCCTTGGATTCCTTGCTAGGTATTATCTTGTCTCCAGAATATGGTGAATTGGCCCCTAGTTCTTGATAAATCCATGGGGTACAAAAACTGGTTTAAGAGGCTAGAAATTGATTTAAGAGGCTAGAAAGAGGTCCCTTGAATGTTAGTCCTTGTTCCGTACTTAAACTGGCCAAAATTTGTCAAAATTACATAAAAATTGGTTTCCAAAAGAGCTTCAATCATAGAAGGAAGCTTATCACATTCTGTCAGAATTGACCCATGCGTTTTTGGTGCTCGTGCATGGGCTATGCTATTTAGCCTCGGGGGTTTGAAAAAAGCGAGCCTTGCTCACGCAGGTGCTCAAGCTTGGTTATACTATCTTTGGGACCAACTTCAATGGTCCTTGAATTTCCTTTTGGGATAAGTCAATTTTTGCATAATTTCATGTCCAGTCATTGAGTTTTATCCAACAAATGTAATAAACAAAAGATTAAGCAATAATTCATCAAACGTCATCCTAAATATCTATATTTGAAACCCTATACTCATGAATTATTTTCTTTGGAAGTTATATTAAGCTTGGTGCAAACTGTCATACTGACATTTATTTTTCTCATTAAGTTAACAATTTCATGTAATTGATGATCGGGTTGTAACTACGAGGATATAGTTGGAATTTGATTCTAAGCACAACTATATATTGATATGTGATGCAAAAATTGAAAAATGATTGGATCAATTAACAATAGGCAGTAAGATTGGTCCTTTGACTTCATGTCATCATAGTGTCTTGTATGGAGATAGTTATGCATTGGTGATGTTGAATGTTGCTCTATCAAGAGTTGCTAATACGACATTATTGAGGAATGTTAACAACCATATTAAGGTTTAGATGATCAATAAAAGATTCGTCACTCATAGATAGTAAAAAATTGTAATTTATGTTTCATTTAGTTAAGTTGATAACAAAGTTCTTGACTAAGGTTTACTCATAAGTCGAAAAGAGTATTTAACTTACATTGAGTTAAGAGTGAGATGAAAGATTTGATCGATAATCGAGATTGACGCACATCCATATATTGTAGTTGATCGGATCATATTGACAAATGTATTATAGTTTCATGATAAATAAATAACTTTAATTTTGTCATACCATGTGACATTTTTCGTCACATGTAAATCCCTAGCACATTACGAGATATTAATCTGGGTCGATGGATGTGAATTATCAATAAATTAAAATAGGAGGTATTTTAATTTTTCGATTTTGATTAGTTAACAATAATAATTTACATCGTTAGACATTGTGATAGAGAGCCTAGAGGGTCACACACAAAAGGAAAACTAGAAGAATTATGTCACTAATTAATTAATTAACAACTATGGACATTGTAAAATTAATTATTTGGATTACTTTTTAATGAGCCAAATTAATTAATCTATGGACCAAGTTTAATTAATTAAATATTGGAACGGGTTAAGTTCAGGTGATATACATAGAATTCATTAGCTTGCTAACATAAGAAAAGAAAAACCCAAATTCTATTATTTTTATTACATTTGTGGATTTTTATTTGAGGGCGGACAATTTAATAGTTATGGATTGCAAATGAAAATTGTTCTTCACAAAATTCCCTAAGGTCTAATTCTTATAACAATTTTTTTATAAACATAAAGTACATCCTTTGTGGTAATAAAAATATTGTTTAAATTCAATTGTACATGTTAAGTAAATTCTCAACAAACACATGATATTTTCAAGATACAGTTTCAAAATAAAACATTCCATATTATCAAATTTTTGTTACTCTTTCAAGACTCATATTTCTCATCAGAGTTTTAGTAAAAATAAATCCTTGAATATTTTCTGGTGGAATTAAAAAGAAAAAAAAAAGAAAAAAACTCTTCAAAAACATTGAAAATTAAATAAAAGTCAAACAAAGTCAATGCAGAGACGGCAACCGTTAAGAAATGACAGTCTTCTAAATAGGATATGAATTAACCAATCTATGAATATATTTGTACGTGTGAACCAACACCCTATAGCAAAGTTTGGACAATGAAAAAAAAAATAGTCCAAACTCCCAGCAAATTGCCATGGCCCAAAGTAATGAAAGTATTGGTCACATTTCTCATAAGATTTCGCACTTTTCTAATTAAAAAAGTCAATATAATTACTACAATAAAATTACACATTATTTTTTTCACAACTTTAAAGATATAAATATCTTATCACTTTCATTTTATTGAGTATGCATATATATACAATTTATAAGATAAACAGCACATGATTATACAAATACGCACTTTCTAGCGGATACAGAATAATTAAATTACAATCCATCTCAGTAGATATTTTAGAATTCAAACAAAAATGCCACAATCTCTGTTTGAACTAAATTATTATTAACATATGTCTTAATGAGATGATAAATAATCCCCAGGAAGAATAATTCAGCTAAGTGGAGGTTTCCTTGCTGAAAGGTGATTTTAAGTCCCTAAACCGTTTTTCTTCTGAAAGCAATTTTGCAAATCTGTAAGACAAAATGAATAGGACAACTGTTAACATGAATAGAAATGAATTACAAATGTGCAAAATAACAGTATATATATATATATATTTATTTATTTATTTATTTTTTCGTACTTTTTCAGAGCATCCTCATTTGTTCCACCGTTTTCAATTGGCTCGGATAGACCTGAATCTAAGTTTACCCTTGAAACTGGTTTCTTCAATAAACTCTGGCCAATTTCAACCAGTTTGTTCAGGTTTGCCTTTGTTGCAACATCAACTGAGGCAGCCGTCCCAGTTAAAGTGTCCTCCTTACATGTAATTTAAAAAAATGTCAGTTCTCAAAAATGTAAAAAATCAAATTACAAAATAAGGGGATTAACACATTTTAAGTAAACAAATTTGTTTAGATTTA